GAAAATTTAAACTGGAGTTTTTATATCAGCAGGACAAATATTGGGAAGTTTAGATAATTATTCATTTTTTCGGGCTGATATTGGACCAATTTCTGTGTAATATTGGATCAATATCCACCTTTTAAAGGTTCTGACTGATTTTCTAAACTAAAGAGACACTGAATTGTTGTTCTGAAAATAGGAGGGGTTTTTAGCAGCAGGATCATTTCATTTGTCAAGATTTTTTTAAATGAAGATTTAAATTAAAGCTTTTTTTTTATCTTTGAGGAAACCAAATAATTTGCATTACAGCCTGACACAGAAGTATGTCTTAGGTTTTTTACAGGATGCAACAGATCTTTGTTGTTTAGAGCTGCATGCTTTTCTGGTTTGGATGAGAAGAGTTTCAAAGGTGACCAGCTTCACCTAAACTCTGGTTGCTTCGTTTTTACCTGATAGGTGTGACAAGGATGTGATTCTCTTGGTGAAACCTGCAGAGCTCAGCACTCAAAGCTTTAACTCGTCTGAGTTTCAGTCATAAATCTCATCAGGCTGCAGAAATACAACCTGACTGCTTTAAACCTCTCAGCCTTCTGCAAAAATAACACATGAGGCTTCAGATCACCTCAGGTTGGACTCTGATCTAAGGCAGCTTCACTTTCTGTGCTTAAAGTCCTTAAAGAAGATCTGCTGCTGCAGGGCTAACAGCTCTTTGGGGCTTTTCTGGTAGCTGACCTTTCCACCTTACGCCTCTTTTGTCTCCCCCTCTTCATCATTTAGTCATCAATTTGTGAAGCACAGACAGAGAAACAGGACTACACTGGAAAACAAGCCGATCTCCAGCATCTAGAAACAAAATCATGTAGCGTGACGTCACTGGCATGAAGCAGGTAGCTGCAGCGGCGCTCTTGAAATCTGCTGTGAGGTCACTGGAAAAAATGTAAATCTAGATAAGTAATTTTTTCTTAAAATAAGTGCATTTGTTCTTGGATTAAGGATGTAAAAGAGACACTTTGCCAATGAACAACTTACACTTAAAACAAGAAAACTTAATTGCATTGGCTTATTTCAAGTGCATATTATCTAATTATCTTATTATAAGAGTAAAAACTATCTCATTAACTTACTTAAACTAAGGGTAAATACACTTCATTTAAGAAATTTTTACGTATTTCTAGATGGTTTTTCCAGTGCATGGCGTCCGGACCTCAAAGCCACCATCATTAGGAGCCTTCAAATACAAATGCATGCCACACTTTTTAGATTCTGATTCTAAAATCTATTTTTAAAACACATCCTCCATTTTCCTCCCACTTCAGATTTATGTGCTTCTTTCCACCTTTGTTCTTTGTATTTTTCAACCTTTAGCTTTTGTCAGTGATACATCGGTTCAGTGTCCCTGTATTTGCTCAGAAAACTCATCTATGCCAGGATTTTTAAAGCTCTAATGCACACGCACTGCAGCTGCTCTTTAAATATTTATAGTACCAGCACATTTAGACTCTCTGTTTTCTGCTGCTGGTTGAGGTGGGATGCGTGGGAGTTTTACATAAACCACAACTCAGTAAGAATATCCTCAGCTCTCTGTAATTATCCCCCTGACAAATGAGTAATTCAATCTGCATGATTTTATGTAGCTTTTCACATAAATGGTTCCCCTTCCTCCCATAGAGCTGCACTTTAAAGGAGGATGCTATTATTAAACTTATCCAGATAAAACCTGACACTATATACAATCCGTCTGTTAGTCTAGTTAAAGCTGTTATTGTCATTAATGTATTTTTACTGTAATTCTTCCTATTACTCCGCCTTGTGCCAGGCAGCCTCTCTAACAGCAGCGTTCGCTCTTTTTCCAATTAAACTAAGAGCTTCGGTGTTGGATAGCGACAGCAGCAAGTAGCACCAGCTTGCCGAGGATCAGCACCGATGTGTGTGTGTGTCTTGGCTAATGGCGATGTGAGAGATTTACAGCTAAAAGCAACCCTGCTTGGCTTTCTGTTTCCATGGTAACCATTTGCATTTCAGTATCCATCGGAAAGTGAGGAAAATTCAAAGCGAGGATTCTTTGGAAGAGATAAAAATCCAAAGACGATGAACGTCGGTGAGATTAGACAGGAAGTCTGACGGTAACTCTGCTGCTTCATGGTTGTGCTTAAAGGGATGGAAATGAGGATGCAGGCCGACATTGTTTACATTCACATCTCTCCTGTAATTCACCTGCTGGGTTTATTGGGTGATGCTGCAGCCGGCATGCAGGGATCTGCCACAGGAAGATGTGCTGACAGTCAAGGAGAACGTCATGATTTGATATGCAGATAAATGTCTGTCTCTGCAGCAGCGGCCCTCATGACCTCATCCAGTCTGATGCTTCTTTAAGGGGTTTGCATTTTGGGTGAGGGGAAAACATTAAAAGTAGGACAAGGAGGTGTAAATGTTTTAACACTACAGTTAGAAAATAAAAAGCTGTCACCCCTTAAAGGAATAGTACACCCAAAACATGATTAGCCTTCATTTTCTACTCCCCCCCCATGCTGAACAACACTCTGGAGTACTTTTTTGATATCTCAAATGCATCTGGAGATCTGGGAGGCTTCTTGCTGTCTGCTGACATTCAAATAATGGAGGTCTATGGCGCCCGAGGCAGAAAGGTCCATAAAAGTCCACAAAAAACGTGTCAATATTCCTCCATACTGCTCGTCCAATGTATTCCAAGTGTCCTGAGTGGGTAGCATCCAGAATTTACTCGAAACGAAGTCATTTAGAATGTTTTAGAGCATAAACAGTAGTGTATAGGATTTCCTGAAAGCGCGTTCACGGCGCTACGGAAACCGCGGCAGACCAAACCAGATGAAAGTGCGCATTCAGCGTCTGCTCTGCCGATAATGCAAGCGTAGAAGAAGAAATGTGCTGTTTACCTGTGCAAAGAAAGAAACAACGAAAGAAAAATGTCTGAGGACTTCAGTGTTGAGGAAGAGCATGAGTTCTTTGCCGAGCTGAATGCGCACTTTCATCTGTTTTGGTCTGTCGGCTTCCGTAGCGTCGGGACCGCGCATGTGCGCGCTTTCAGGAAATCCTATACACTACTGTTTATGCTCTAAAAACATTCTAAATGACTTCGTTTCGAGTAAATTCTGGACGCTACCCACTCAGGACACTTGGAATACATTGGACGAGCAGTATGGAGGAATATTGACACGTTTTTTGTGGACTTTTATGGACCTTTCTGCCTCGGGCGCCATAGACCTCCATTATTTGAATGTCAGCAGACAGCAAGAAGCCTCCCAGATCTCCAGATGCATTTGAGATATCAAAAAAGTACTCCAGAGTGTTGTTCAGCATGGGGGGGAGTAGAAAATGAAGGCTAATCATGTTTTGGGTGTACTATTCCTTTAAGCCCTGAAGGTCTTAGGAACAAATTCTACCTGAAATTCCATGTGAATTAAAGCAAGTCCAGCTCCCAAACTATAAATTGGAAATACAATTGTTTGTATTAGTATGACAGAAAGGCATTGAGGAATATTTTTCAGGTGGAACCACAATTTTAAATCTCACCATGTCTGATTTATAGGTGATTAAACTAATATAAAAAATATATAAAAACTGCAAAACACCATGAAAGCCCGTTTGAAACTTTGGATAAACCCTCAGACTTTATAGATCCACATCTTGACTATAAGTTAAGCAAATTCAGACTGAATAAGTTGAAGCATGTTTGTTCCACAAAGGTTTTAGTGGGACTTTTGGAACAATGCCAAAAATGCATTCTTTCGCTCATAAAGGGAATTTGCAGATTTATATATGCTGATTTCCATTATTGGAGACCTTCTGCATGAGGCAAAGCCTTTGCTTCTGAGATTTAGTCATTCTTTCATTTCAATTTACCAATAAAATCACCAAACCGAATAGAAAATAAGAATAACAAAGCAAGCTTAGCATGCCGGTTACATCAGCTGAAATAGTCACACAATGACCTCTGACCCCTCCTTGGAAAGGTCTGAGCCTCTAGTTTCCAATGATGGCGGCCATTAGGGGGCGGGGCTAAAAATGAATAGCTACTGTTGCATTACTCCCACAGTGTCACATGTTAGGTGGAATTTTAAATATCATTTAATTTGTTTACACATATATAAAACAAAAAAGTATTTGTGAAAAAAATAATTTTGAAACATGTTTTTTAAATTTTAAACCCCATTTGAAAGGCGTGTGGATGAAACACCATGTGACCCTGTTTCTATAAATAGATAAACATGAGCAGGTGTCAGTTTGGCTCTGTGCCCGGCCCGCTGGGCTTAAAAGCTAATTGCCTCTCGTTAGTCGCCCCTTTTTGTTGACTAAGGCTCTATTTCTGTGTTTTTGTGCAAAGGAATCCTCTTCATTAGGAATCTAAACCCTCAGACTGACACCTGACAAGATATGATTTCTAAATAAAAGTGACATTAATGATCTTTATGAATCATTCGTTTTTTTATGTGCTACCAGAATCAAAGGATTTTCATCTAGATTTTTAGAGTTTCAGAAAGAAAGGAATTTAAAACGATTTGTCATTATTTTTCTGTTTGGTTTTAAAAGGAATGAATGAATCTTATCAAGGTTAAGTTCTATTTAAAAACCTGGCAGGTCGGACTGATGAATGCAGGTTTAGTTTACCCTCCTAGTGTCATGATTTAACTAAAGATCAGACCCAAAATGCAGAAGACCAAACAGAGAGACCAGGGAAAAGGTTTAACAGGTTTTATTTTATTTAGGAGATTGTGAAGAATCCAGTGTTGCTCTGAAAACTGCTCAACCGGAACTGAAAGGTGAGGGGAAGACACTGCGGTTGGTTCAGGTACGGTGGGAAATTTGATTCTCGAACTTGAAGAGGTGAAATAGATTGCTGACTCACGTTTCCAGAGAAGTTGTTGACTCTTTGATTTCATTCTGTATGCTGTAGTTCCAGTGTTTGTCTGATTTGGTGGAGGGCGGACAGGGTTTACCCAGAATGCGGTTGTCTGTAGGTGAACGGAGAAGCTGACTGCCACTCAGATTTCCTGCGGTACTTGAACGGGTCGTAGTGGAGATGAATCCCTTGCTCAGTGTAAAGCTCAAACGATCTCTTGAGGAAAAGTTGATTCAAACCTCCAGTTTAAATCCTCAATTCAGTTTGAAGTTCAGTTGATCCTCCCAGGGAGAGAAGGTCCGAAAAATCCAGTTTGCAGGATGACTTCCTGCCGAGAGGCAAAGACAAAAACAAGATTAAAACTTAGGTCAACAAGAACTCAGTTTGACTCAGCAAAACTCAGCTTGGCTAGCGTACCCAAAACTAGCAAACACTGCGGCATCGAGGTAGTGGCAGTCAGCAGCTTCACAGATATTTTAGAGATACTTTTATTGAAACAGATGCAGACACCATGAGAAACTGGGACACCTTTGGTTTTTTTAGCTCTCGCTGCTCAATTCCATTCTATTCAGTTTATTTCTATAGCTCCAATTCACATCATGTCATCTCAGGTCACTTTCCAGTTCCCCAGATCATCCAGTCAGATTGATTCAAAGTTTTCTATCTAAGGAAAACCAGCTGATTGCATCGACTCATTGACTCTTCAGCAATCCCTCACACTAAGCATGCTTGTAGCAACAGTGGAGAGGAAAAACTCCCTTTGAACAGGAAGAAACCTCCAGCAGAACCAGGCTCAGTGTGAGCGGCCATCTGCTGAGGCCTCTTTTAAAGATTAAATCCTATATTCTGAGCAAACAGAGACGCTATCAGCAGCTACCCTACGGCATCCATCTTTGTTTTTGTCGCAGCTATATTTCCCGCCTTAAACCATCACACTGTAAGGTGACTGAACCACCTGTTTTGGGTCGGACTCAAACTGTAAAGTCAGGATTCAGAGCAGGTGGATTCTGGTGTGTTTTTGATCTCAGCAGCAGCAGAAATGATCGCTACATTACCTGCAGATAACGCTGGTCAACACTGATCCAGTGTTATTGGAAAACATCAAACTCTGGAGGAAAAAATCATACAGTTTACTGTTGATGCATATATGCCAGGCTAAAATGTTGATCCTCCTCCCAAAGAGCAACAAACAGGAACAAAAACTGACATTTTTTTTAAGGTAGAGGAATAAATAGGCGGGTTCAGTCCCTGCCTTTCAATATTTAGCTCCATTTTGTTTTTCTGCAGCAGGTGATTTCACAGCGTGAGTGTGTTTCTGGGTCACTGCAGCGTCGCTGTGACCCAGAAACATCCCTAAACTCCATTAAGCACCTCTCCTGAATCCTGACGTTTTATTGGGGAAAATGCTTTAAATGGCAGAAATGTTTTCATTCAGGATCCGCTCCGCTCCATAAATTAAACTGTTCTATTGGAGCCATTCTATGCCGGCTTTATGATGCAATGTTTTATTACACTTTATTGTTTTATGAGGGAAATATGCAGGACTGTAACGCCTCACGGTATTTAAATCAAACATGCAAATGTTTCAGTAGAAAAACATAAAATCCAGCGAAGATACAGAAATTGAAAAGCTAAACTCTGAAAATAAGATTACTTTGAAAATCCTGCTGCCAAAGTGACAGTTATTAATTCAATTAAGTCAAACAATTAATCATAAAGAATGAAATAATTGATTAAAATACTTTAGATTTACTACTAATGTTATAAATTTTTAATAAATACAAGCTTTTTTTTTTTTTAAACTTCATATTCATTTTGTATCCAAAGACAATATTTTATATTTGTTAAATAATTACAAAAATGTTGTTTAATAATATTTTAGATCAAATTAATTAGGATAAATTGTGTAAGATTATTAGAATTTTTTTTTGCTAAATATCTGAAATGTATTGAAAGATTTTGTGGGTGAAATTGAAGTTATTTTTTAAAATATTTACTGAAGAATGATTTTGAATGAGTGGCTGTAAAAAGCACGCAGCTCCTAACATCCTGCTGCAGCATGGAGTTAAACATGGTGCTTCTCCTGCAGATGGCGCCCCGCTGAGCGAGCTCTCCTGGTCCTCCTCCCTGGCTGTGGTGGCCATCTCCTTCTCTGGACTCTTCACCTTCGTCTTCCTCATGCTGGCCTGCCTCTGCTGCAAGAAAGGCAAGATGGGCTTCAAGGTGGGTAAAAACGCAAGAAAACTGACAGAAGAAAGAAATCTCAATGAAAATATCTGCTCAACATTCTTAAAATAAAAAGAATGAGTTTACAGTCCGGCCCAGTTTACGATAAAGCACAGAAAGAAGCTGGAGGCAGATGTAAAGCAAACAAAGAGTCACAGTAAAGGTTCATCTGCTCTGCCTCTTCCTCTGAAGCTGCACAGAAACATCCGCTGCATCCTTTCATCAGACGCTGGGAGTTTTTTATGCAGATGGGAAGCAGGAAGAAGAGCAAACAAAGCGGGATGAGTTCGTGTTTGTGGAGCAGCGGGAGCCCTGCAGCGCTGTGAGACCATCTTGTGGAGGCAATAGAGAAACCAAATAGGTCACAGCATCAGATAAAGTAGAGCAGAGTGAAAAAAAAAAAAAGCTGTGGCATCATTTTTCCTTCACATCGTGTTTAACCTGCACCATAAAACTCAGCAGGTTCTGGGAAAAAAGCAGCTAAATGTGTTTAATCTTCAATAATATTGAAATGTTTGCAATAATAACCTCTGGAACCAGCAGCTCTGTCTGCAAAGCTTCTTCTTTACAAACAACAGAGTTCAACTTGGATTTAAGGAGGAGCCTCTAACCAAGAAACATCTACAGCTTTTAGCTTAAGAATGGAAGTTATTTATTTAAAAACCAACAAAAATCTATAAAAGATTTGGTTTCCCTTTAGCTCATTAAAACCTCTGCTGAGATCCAGTAATAGTTGCTTTTAAAATAAAAGACTAATTTCTATATCCCTTAGATGTAGAGAGCTAAGTGAAGACTACACAATAGTTGACTTGGACTCATTCTATTCAGTTTATTTCTATAGCTCCAATTCACATCATTTCATCTCAGGTCACTTTCCAGTTCACCAGATCATCCAGTCAGATTGATTCAAAGTTTTCTATCTAAGGAAAACCAGCTGATTGCATCGACTCATTGACTCTTCAGCAATCCCTCACACTAAGCATGCTTGTAGCGACAGTGGAGAGGAAAAACTCCCTTTGAACAGGAAGAAACCTCCAGCAGAACCAGGCTCAGTGTGAGCGGCCATCTGCTGAGGCCCACTGGGGTTCAAGGAGACAGAAGCAGACATAGAAAAAGAAGCATAGATACAAAAGGCAACTGTCAACCAGCTCCACAGGCGGCCCCGTCCAGGAAACACACAGCCAGGCAGACGAGCTCCGAGCCAGCTCCCATGTCAGAGGATGAAGAGAGCACATCCAGTTAGTCACAGTCAGAGAAACAGGACCACACTGGAAAACAGGCCAAGCTCCAACATCTAGAAACAAAGGTGTTGATGGCAGCAGCACAGCTGATATTTCTCTCCAGGATGGAGTCACAGCCAAACAGGAACAGACCAGATGAAGCTACTATGAGAAAAAGCAGAGAGAGCAGAACGTTAGAGATTGAACTAACAGATTGAATGAAGCAGAATGATGAAAAAGGGGTCCCTATGTCCTCCAGCAGTCTAAGCCTATAGCAGCAGAACTATAGAGATAGCTCAGGATAACCTGAGCCACTCTAACTAGAAGCTTTATCAAAAAGGAAAGTTTTAAGCCTAGCCTTAAAAGTAGACAGGGTGTCTGCCTCACGGACTAAAACTGGTAGTTGGTTCCACAGGAGAGGAGCCTGAGAACTATTGCACTTGTTCTACAGAGATGTACTGACCTATAAATAAGTAAAAAATTAGACAGGCTACACAGTAGTTAATTGTACAGTGAAAGAGAAGAATATTGCACGAGTGACAATAGGTAATGTTTAGCATCAGGTGTCCATGGAGGGGGCTGCTGACCCTTGTCCCTCTTCCTATCACCTCCTCCTTCCCCAAGTGAGGAGTTGTACAACTTGATGTCTTGAAGAACAAAGGAGTTCAGCAGTCTGTTGGTCCTGCATTTAGGGAGCAGCAATCTCCCACTGGGGACTGTCTCTGCCACCGTCCCCAGAAGGTCCAGCTTCTAGCCAATCACAGAGCCGGTGTTCTGTCAGATGAGCATACCTGGTCAGACCAGCATAGTCAATACCAGTTTATCCCTTTAGTTTTGTACAAAATAAAATGAACTTTAAACAGCTTTAACTGGCATTTATAGCTTTAGTCATGTGCAAAAAACTGTTTAATTACTTAGTTTTTGGTGTGTATTGCGATCTGACATTTATTTGATTGTTTTTGTACATAACTAAAGGAATATATGCCCGTCATGGCTGTTTAAAGTCCATCTTTTGTACAAAACTAAAGAGATAAATGCAAATCTGATGTCTTGAGCATGCGTGTTGACTATAGGTATTCTGGTCTAGAACACCGCCTCGCCTCAGAGACACACAGAAGATACGTTCTCTGAAATGATTTTTACTCCAGGAGATGCTGAGATGAAGGATTGTTTTAATAATCAGGCGGCTCTGGGTGCATTGTCATATTTTCTTTATATTTTGGTTTTTGGTTCTCTGGTGCGTCTGACTGAAAGCTCTGCTACCAGAGCAGGACATTCATTTAATCCTGTCTGTTTTTTTTATGAATCAATATCTGTTCACTTTACTTTTTGTGTGCTGCAGTGTTTTCGCTATCATGCTATCACTATCATATCAAGAAAGAAAGAAAAACAACTTAAATGTTTTACTGGAAAACCAACTTTTATTTGCAGTGATTAACTGGTATGTTTAGGCAGGACTGCATCAGGCATCTCCAGGCAAACCTTATTAATGAGGTTTAAAACTAAAGCGATGCTCAGACTGTTTCCAGGAGCTGTTGCTGCCACTGCAGTGGTCTGAACCCTGGCAGGGTGTGGGAACAGAGGAGGGGTGAGAGGGCGTGAGGACGGGCTTTCTCATGAGCTCTCAGCACATCCGGCCTCCGGGCCGTGTCTCCCTCTGACAGAGAAGGAAAACACTTCAAGGGAGACGGTAGAACAGGCTCTGCTTGTTAAAGGAATAGTACACCCAAAACATGATTAGCCTTCATTGTCTACTCACCCCCATGCTGAACAACACTCCGGAGTACTTTTTTGATATCTCAAATGCATCTGGAGATCTGGGAGGCTTCTTGCTGTCTGCTGACATTCAAATAATGGGGGTCTATGGCGCCCGAGGCAGAAAGGTCCATAAAAGTCCACAAAAAACGTGTCAATATTCCTCCATACTGCTCGTCCAATGTATTCCAAGTGTCCTGAGTGGGTAGCGTCCATAATTTACTCGAAACGAAGTCATTTAGAATGTTTTTAGAGCATAAACAGTAGTGTATAGGATTTCCTAAAAGCGCGTTCAGGAGTCTATGGAAACCGCGGCAGACCAAACCAGATGAAAGTGCGCATTCAGCTCGGCAAAGAACTCATGCTCTTCCTCAACACTGAAGTCCTCAGACATTTTTCTTTCATTGTTTCTTTCTTTGCACAGGTAAACAGCACATTTCTTCTTCTACGCTTGCATTATCGGCAGAGCAGACGCTGAATGCGCACTTTCATCTGGTTTGGTCTGCTGGCTTCCGTAGCGTCCTGAACGCGCTTTCAGGAAATCCTATACACTACTGTTTATGCTCTAAAAACATTCTAAATGACTTCGTTTCGAGTAAATTCTGGACGCTACCCACTCAGGACACTTGGAATACATTGGACGAGCAGTATGGAGGAATATTGACACGTTTTTTGTGGACTTTTATGGACCTTTCTGCCTCGGGCGCCATAGACCTCCATTATTTGAATGTCAGCAGACAGCAAGAAGCCTCCCAGATCTCCAGATGCATTTGAGATATCAAAAAAGTACTCCAGAGTGTTGTTCAGCATGGGGGTGAGTAGACAATGAAGGCTGATCATGTTTTGGGTGTACTATTCCTTTAAGGAGGCAGGGGGGATTTACCATTAGGCAGGTGCCTAGGGCTCCAAGTTCCTGGGGGCCCCATAAAACTGTGTTAACATGTATAGTTAATACAGCTAATCCTTATTTCTGCACATTAATTATGTTTTTGATAAAAATCCTTTGGCTAAAATGCCATCAGAACGCTGATAATATTAAGTGTGTCTCAGCCCCCCCCCTTCAGTGTCCACCATCTTGGATCAGTCCATTTGCTGCACATGTTCAGAAAGGTCCAAACAGACAGCAGCAAACCATTTGAAAACAAACCATGCAAAGAGCAGTGTTGCCAACTTAGCGCTTTAGTCGCTATATTTAGCCACTTTTCAGACCCCTCTAGCACTTTGATTTCTAAAAAGCTCCTAGCGCCAAATCTAGAGACTTTTTTCTGCTACTGGAGACTTTGGAGACAACATCTAAAAGCAGCGAACTCTGCTCTCCAGAGCGAGTAGATTGGTAACCCCGCCTCCTGCTCTCCTCTATCTTGTCTGCTGTCATGATTCATGCAGCTATTATTTCATCCAAATGAAAAATGGAGAACAGATAAGCAGATCATGGCTTGTCTACAGTGAAAAGAAGGACTGGGTTATTTACTTTGGCCTTTTTGGAAACACAGGAAGGAGCAATCAGCTAAGTGAGCTTAGTGCTTGGAAAAAATCTTTCATTCCTTTAGAGACAGCATGAAAAGTCAGCTGAGTACAAAACATAGAGAGGAAAACAAGAAGAAAAGGGACAAGAAGAGAGGGACACAACCTAGAACAGATAATGGATGTCTATTCTATTAACATTTCTATATCTGGAGAATGGGGCTGTTTGATGTGTTGTCTTCTCCATTCAGAGGGGCCCCTGCCTGTCTTTGCCTAGGGCCCCACATTTCCTAAATCCGCCCCTGTAAGAAGGACAGCTCCTGTGGAGCAGATTCTGTTCATTCAACAGAAATAGATCATATAGATCTGAAATGAAGCCTTTTTTCCGGTTTATGTCCTCCAATCACCGCTTGCTCTAGGAGCGTTAATCACATGTTAAATGCGTATAAATCCTGCTGTAGCTGGAAATGTTTGATCTAGAAGGTGTTCATCTGTAGATCATAGATCTGCATGGACTAGATGTTGGAGTC